TACAGTGCATATTGAAATGGCAGCGTTTAGTGACGTAAAAACATTTGAACAAAAAATGTATTCCAGAACCTTTTTTGTCCATAAACAAATCAACATTTTCGAAACAGATAGATAGATACCGAGCATCCGGAAAGTATTCACAGCTTCACTTTTTTCACACAGATCTGTGACAGAGTACAAATTGGTATTTTGGTACCGCTGGTCAAGACGGCGTTTTCAGCATAGCCTTGTTTATTCCACACTTAAGGTGAGCTTTGCGTAGGGGAAGCGATAATTGACGAATGGCATCCTGACCTTCGATGGACCTTTTTGTTCCTGCTGTGGCTTGTGGTAATCGGCCCACTAATCATTCAACACAGTTTGACACTGAACAGCCAAAGCAGATGATCAGATCAATATAAGACACAAATTAAATTGGAGATTATATGTATTTATATAGTGTGTGCATGATCGGCACCTTGAATAAAAACCACAAAAGCTTCATTGTTGTCATGCAACACTTTTAAAGAAGACGTTTGCAGAATTGCCGAACTGTGCAGTCATTCATTGATTTGATATTTAACTTGCTACCGATGCTAAAGACATTGTGACAGATAGAGGTGCAGGAATAGCAGAGAAGCCCGCTGTAAATGTTCTTGGCGAGTTTGCCCTTTTCATATTAGACACGACTCAGCGGCTCCATTCTCAGGGAGCTTGTCAGCGCTGCTTGTTCGGAGCTAATGCTGCATAAATAAACGTAACTGGTAATTGAAAAACGGTGATGGTCGGTTTCATATTTTTTGTCATTCCTGCCTGCTGAAGCACAGTGATGCATTTGTTCCTTACGAGACCGATTATTCCCTGACTGAATTCAACAAAACTGTCCTGATTTGGTGAGATTATAGATTATTTCCTTTCCGTGACTTGGTTGTTTGCGTATATGAAGTTCAGGTCAATTCAGTTGAGTTCATTCACATGGTGTCAATTCACAACAAATATCTTAAGCCACTGTACAAAAATTAAAAATGTCCAAACTATGCAAATATCATCCATTTAATCCTGTCATATAGATAGATACAATATTCATTTTATGCATTCCTACTAGATCCTGCTCAGCAATTGATTTAACAAAAGTCAACATTCAGTTTATTATTTACTGGTAAACTTTAAAGAAACCTAACCAATTGTGTCACTAACCTTCCTGTGCTTCCTCTTGAACGAGGAGCATCCAGCAATAACTGACAGTGGAGAGGCGAACTTATGCTAAACAGGAAAAACCACTAGGCTACTTACAGAAGAACTAGTTACTAATGTCTGAAGGATTGCAATTTTTTTATTTATTTATTTTCAATGTTCATTTGTAAAAAATTCGACGAAGTCATCAGAGCTGAGAGCTAAAGGTCTGGCTATTGTACTACTAGGACTATTCTTGTTCTCCTCGATTAATGATAAGAAATACAGTCCTCTAATTTGGCCAATTGTTTTCATAAAGCAGACTATTTTTCCAGCTTTAGTACGGCTCAATTACTATTGTAGGGCACCATTTGCTCTCCAATTTCTTAGAGGCAAGTTTAAAAAAAAAACTGTTATGGCCTTATAATTACTTGCTGGTTGAGTGTTTGTGGGTTTAAAATGCTAAAGCTAAAGGTAGTCTACACAGTGTGAAAAAGTGTGGAATTTTATTTTAGTGAATTCCAAGTCTGGATACATATGGAAAAAACATATCTTATTTTCCTGTGCTGTGATCAATGTTCATTCCTTCTTTGTGTCCTTCCTCCATTCTCCTTTCCTTCTGTTTCCCTCCTCATTCTTTCACCTCTTTATCCTTCCACATGCTCGTCTGTCATCTTGTGTCTTAGCTCTCTTCTGTCTGAGCATCTTACTACTTTCCTCCACTGTCCTTCATTCTTTCTGTAATTTCTCTCTTCTGTTTGACATACCTTCCTTCTAATTTCCTTCCTTGGAGTTCATCTTTCTTTTTTCAATGTCATTCCCTCATTTGCTTCCTTGTGCCCTTTCTTTCCTTTCCCTGCCTTTACTCGTTTCTACCCTTTTTTATTTGTTCTTCCTGCCCTTTCTTCCTTCTGGCATTAATGTCTAACCTTCTTGCCCCTTTCTTTTTCCTTATATGCTTATGTCCTCTTTTGTTTTTTTCCTGTTTCTTTTTTTATTCTGCTCACTGTAAAAAATAATTGCTGAAAATCAGTGATAAACTTTAATATTATATAGTTAAGAATTAAGCTAAATGACAACACACTAAGGAAAGTTAAACCGGCAAGAGTCCAGAAGTTTTGCATGGAAAATCTATAGGAACCCAGAAAAAGATGATTGTTTTATTTCATACACTAATTTAACAGAAAAAAGTATTAAGTTTTAAACATGGACACTAAATGTCTAAATTCAATACTAAATCCCAATAAACTAGTATCATGAAAAAATAAACCATTAGCAATTGCAAATTCATTTCAGCTGACAGATTATTCCCTTTCAATTTTATGTATAAACTTTGTCCACTAGAGGTCAGCAATGACCATTTATTTTCCTGTTGAGCTGGCACAGGCCAGTGTCCTTTAACTATTCACAGGGGTATATTAAGTTTTAAAAAAATATTTTGCTAAAACTAACAATTGTGTCTTTAGTTTAATGGTGCTGGGAGTGACAATAAATCCAACTACATTTTGTTTTAATCGTTGAAGCTTATGGCAAAAAAAAAAAAAAAAAAAAATGTCCAATTTAACAAAGAAAGATACATTGACAAGCTGAAAATGTATCTAAAATACCAAGTCAGAATCATTTGCATTGAACTGGACTTTTTGAGGCCTTTACAGTAAAGCCTATGATTTGTTTGCATGAAGGACGTGGAACAAAACGTCCAGATGAGTTCCCCACTATTGTGGTCAACTTTAAGACTTCACTAAATAGAAAGTGTTTGCATTAGAATTTTACAGATTAGGCTTTGCGGGTTTCTACATTTTGTTCAGGAACAAACTTTCCCAGCTCCGTCGACCAGAGCTGTAACTCTGCTGCATTATGAACGGCAAAAGCCCTCTATGCTTTGTCACGACAATGTGACACTGAACACGGTTCCTCCAAACAACACAGCTTGGTTGGCGTCTTTCAGTAGGTAACTTTTCGTGTCTTGTCTGTCCAGATAACCAGGTCCTGCAGTTCGGGACGTTAGTGAGCACCTCCAACACCTACGAACCCACAGCACCAGGGAGCCCCAGGAAGCCTGTGACTGTGACCACCGACCAGCCGCTGCTGTGGAGCATGGGCCTCCACATTCATGAGAAATAACAGACTGTTTGGTCAGAAGTGACTTCCTTTTGTTTTGTTTTCAAAACAAGGTGGAACAAAAACCAGAATCAGTATTTGGATCAAAAACCACTTGTTACAGTGGAGTGGATTTAGTCACACTTTGAAAGATCAGAACTGATTTCAAGCCATTTGCTAATTTTGACTGTAGATCATGTCCATAAGATCACATTGAACTGTATCCCACACCATGTGCCTTCAACTGCTCTCTTTTTTTTTTTTTTCCCACCCAAGAAAAGCGAATAGTGCCTTATGTCATGTTTTAGACTTGGGCTTGCCATAACTGCATTATTGCACTCAATTCCAAAATGAAAAATCGTTTTCACTATAAAGTGACAAATTTCCAAATTTATTAAAAAGTAATCAGCATGTGTGTTTAATTGTTTTATTTACACAACAAAATATAAATGTTGAGCACAGAATCTAAAAATGTCCATTCAGTTTGCCATCACAACTAATGACGCTTTGCACCGAGGTCTGTCCAGAGAGATTTGGCTTGATCAAGATTTAACCACCGCTAGAAGAAAAACAAAAGGAAATGTTAGCATTAATCAAAACTTAAAAGTCAAACTCATTTTTTTATGCAGCCCTATTTTACAAGATAGAAACATGTTGCAAAAGAATAATCAGTTTTTTTTTTTGTAAGTATAATTGTAAAATTAAGAAAACCAGTAAGGAGTTAAAGAATAAATGTTGCGTTATAACTACATTTATGAAGTTCATCTGTCATAAAATAGCAGTTTTCCTATATTTCAAGACTGAAGATTAAGGTGATGCTTATGTTTTACTGATTTCTAGGGATTTATAGCAAGAATTTTATAAAGAATTTAAAAATACAATTTTACTTGCAAAACAAAATGTTTTAACATTTGCAGTCACCTTGTTAGCCACATTTTATTTAATTGTTTTATTTTAAGCAAATATAATAACAGTATTGCCGATGTTTGGTCTTGGAAGCAGGTGGGCTGCATGTTTTTGAAAATAAACCATAGAGAATTAATCTAACATGGTAATATTGAGCAATTTATGAAAGTAATTGGGCACAAAAATATACAACTGTGGTTTGTTATTAAGGCCTAATTCATAAGGTTTACTTGCATGTATTTTTTTCCATTAAAAAAAAAACACTCTGAAACTTGTGCAACATGTTCATATGCCAATAGGCATCATTTATTTATTTTTTGCTTAGCCAAAGTGTCTGCAATCTTTCATAATTTTAATCATCCAAACATAAAATTATCTTCATCTTGTCTGTTTGACTGACTTGTTTCACATTACAAAAACTCAATGAAATAAGTGCAACTCTCCATCACATTCAGTAGTATTTAAAGTGGTTTTTTTTGTGTGTGTGTTTTTTTTTACTTACACAATGATATTGTTGATGGGGATATGGATGAGCTTGACAAAGAAGCCAATGAAGCCCATAATGGCAAATCCAATTGCCGTGGCCATGGCAATCTTCTGAAATTCTGAAGAACAAAAACCAATATTGTAAAACGAATAAAAGTGAAACATAAGGTGAAATTGAACTTGCTTTCGAAGCCGGGGTAAGTTAACGAAACAGCTCAGGCTTTATTAAAACCAAAAAGGATAGGGGACAGAAAAAAAAAATACCTTTTCGGTCTGGTTTTGTGCACCTCTTCACAAGCCTTATGGAGTCCTTGACGAACTGCCGACTGGGCTCAACAAACTGCATCACCTGATCCATGGTTGTGCTGCAAAGAGAAATCACAGATCATCATTGTAGCTTACATTTCCTTCAGCGCTGACGTTGACTTCATCGTTTCAGCTTTTAGTCACTTCATAATTGTATTCATTTATTTCTATTGCAGCAAACACGAACGTTATGACAACTTTATACAAAACATGTGGCACCTTGCCATTAAAAACGTGATACAAAGGCGTTTAACAAATCTGTCTCCATTACTAATACCGTATATTAGAGTAGGAGAAGCTAACGTCGACGAAGCATTGTTTAAAGTTAAACATGTTACGCCAAACCGCCTCAAACCCTTTCGTCCATTATGATTTGAATCAATAAAACACACTAAGATTGATAAAATAGCAGTTATTTTACCTGTTTCCGTCCTGTTCTTTCTCAGAACACAGAGTAGTTGTGGCCACGTAGCTTCGACACGGCTAGAAGAAAAGACTAAGCTGACGTAGACTTAAACAGCGCATGCGTGTGACGTCTTTCTTCCTTTTCAAATTGTACACGTTTTTGTCTACATCTCCCCCTGCAGGCTGGGAGGTTCTCTACACCATGACGTTGTAGTAACACTCGTTATTGTATCATTTTTGATAGGAGGAATAAAGCTGTAGAAGCATTTTAAGGCTTGGAATCGCATCCCTGTGATGACACAAGTGATTTATGTTAAATTCTGTCCTATTTTAAGTTTCCATTCACAGTGCAATTCTAGCTATAGGTATATTTTTTTTATCCTGTATAAACAAATAAATTAGTTTCTTTTGTATCTTAATGTGTCTCTGCAGGAAGCATGCGTAAAAAACAGAGAGTGAGAGCTTTATTACACTGACATAACAGATAATGAATTTGCACTATATATGTAAAACAGCTCAATATGTAATATGCTACTCAATAAAAAGTGATTATTTTTATTAAAATTACTGAAAGAGTGTTAACACCTATTCATCTATTATTGCACCTGTACCAACCAATATTATTCATCTATTTTCCCAGTTTAGATTTATGATTCAACAAAGAAATAACCTATGTCCTTTCTCTAGGGTATTACAACGTTGTGTTCTTCTTTTGGTTTTGTTTCTGTAAATTCCTTGTCTAAGATGCATTTCGTTTTCTGTTCCAACAGTCAAAACTCCTTTTTTATTCATCCTTACTTTGAAACATTGAAAATTAATTTCATATTCTTTGTACCTACCTGAAATATTTTTTGAAACAACTTTACTATCAATAAATTAAGTCTAACATCTCATTAAGGTCAGCAGAGGGCATCCTAATGACCGAGTTGCAGATTTAGACTTGTGCAGGCATTTGCAAACTGGGAGGCAGCTACATATTTTCCTTCAGTTTATCTTTGGGGGGAAAAATGTAGTTAGAACAATTTTGCTTGTCTGGTGGTCAGACAAAAAATTAAACTGCAGATACGTTTTTTTTTTTTTTTTGCACAATCTTGTGATACTAGATACTACTCTTACAACCACTTAAAAAGCAAGTAAAAATGAAACAAGTGACTGAAAATGCAGGAAAAAAATCTGTGAGGCCACATTCTAAGACTGTTGCATTACTACAGTCAAACAACACAGCTCTTAAAATATTTGTCAAATACCTTCTTAAAAAGCAGTACAGTATTTGCTTTGTATTTTCTCTTGGTATGTCAGCCCCGTCTATTTGCATATTAGCACTCTTGCAGAGTGGTTATGTGTTCAGTACTCTTACTACCTCTCATTACTCATGCAACATTCTTTCTAATATTTACCCCCTCATGTGATTTAGATTAAGATTAGAGATTTCTTGTTCTGGTATGTTCATTTTAGTCGCTCTCTGGTTCCCTAAAGCCAACATGAGTCAGCAGCATGATTACAATGTTACCTTTATACATGTTGCATTAAAAAAAAACAAAAAAAAACAATGAATCATGAGGTCATAAATTGTGCCATCTATTTTGGATGATAAGGCTAACTTCAAAGAGCAAGAGACTCTGATCTACAATTGTGTGCAATTCATTCATGTAACTTTATGAGGAGCAGCTAGCTTAAGAAAAAGGTAAAAAAAAAAATCCGTACTTAAATTTCTGACTAACGAGCAGAACTATACAAAATGTTGGTCAAGAAACATCCTGTTATATAGCATGTCTCACATTACTGTCAAATTTCAGCAGGCTGACACTTTATAAGCTTATTCTTTTGCAACCCATTATCTCAGTCATGCATTTCGCTGATGTTACTTTGCCTTCTTTTGAGGGAAAAAAATTAAAAACTGCAGAATGTCTGAATAAACCAGATGCAAAATACAGTTCGATATAAAACTGTTTACATGGATTGGACTTTTACTGATCAATAGATATACAGAGAGCTTTACAAAGGGAACAAAGATTCTAACAAAAGGAAATTTTCAACGCGTTCTACCTTCAGGGGAATCTGTCCTCGCTGACTCTTTGAAAAATGTTAAAAATTAGACTATTTGTGTAAGTATCTATTGAGGAATTACCATCAGTAACATCTTTAAGTAACAGTTCACAGAATCTTCTTTGAAAACAACTAACATGTAAACAATGCAAATAATAAAAATACAGAGTAAATAGCCTTATAACAGCATTTTTGAGTCTGTTCAAACTTTGTTGTAATATAGCTAAGCAAATGCTACATTCCATCTTAGTAATAAAAAAAAAATTAAACAGCAGTAACATGTAATGACGTTAGCAGCTCAGGTCTTATTCAACTAAATTAAAGCATAACATACTGGCTGACTTATTCTCATGACAAAGCACCGCTTTAGTACAAGATACACAACAAACAAATACTTAGAACCTCTATGTATCTGGAATGCTTTAAAAGGTTTCACATCGGAAATAATTCAGTAAATTCTGATTAAATTGAACATGTGTTTTCTTTCTGTTGACGGAAAATGAAAGAAAAACTTGAAGCAGTCCTCGTTGCTTCACACTCAACCTCACTCAGAACGGCCAAAATTCTCAAATGAGTCATAGATTCGTAAAAGTGCATAACAGTGCTTTCGACATGTGATATGTATAACACGTAGTTAGTCTGCAGCTCTTCACTGCCAGGTGATGCCAAGCATGTCGCAGCTCACCTCCCACAGCCTCTGGGCCAAGTCATCATTAGCAGCAGTCCTTGAGCAGCGTGCAGCCGCACAGTCACTGAACACAAACAGTTGACAGAAACTGGTCATTAAATCCTGTCCGGCTCTTTTGTGCCATTGTTAAAAGTTGTACATTTGTAAAGTTTTGCTGAGGGTTATTTTTTTTATTTTTTATTGATTAACAGTTACTGAGCTTGTTGGCAAAAGCTACCTGAAATAGTTTCCACTCTGGCTCTCCAGGCCTTGTTCCACAGCACAAAAGATGGTGGTCTGTGCTCCCTCCACTGTTGTCTTGGTAAAAATTCGGAAGATCTTCACTGCCACTTGTATGCACTGGTGCTGGTGTCGCCACAGGTCAGACTGGACCACTCCCGGGTGCAGAGAAAAGACGCTGACACCAGTTCCTGCAGCATGAACAAAGGAGAACTTCTTCACATTTAGTCACACTATAGCCGCAAACTCCATCCATCCATCCATCCATCCATCCATCTTCTTCCGCTTATCCGGGATCGGGTCGCGGGGGCAGCAGCTTCAGAAGGGAGGCCCAGACTTCCCTCTCCCCAGCCACTTCTTCCAGCTCCTCCGGGGGAACCCCAAGGCGTTCCCAGGCCAGCCGAGAGACCTAGTCCCTCCAGCGTGTCCTGGGTCTTCCTCGGGGCCTCCTCCCGGTGGGACGTGCCCGGAACACCTCACCAGGGAGGCGTCCAGGATGCCTCCGCAAACGCCAGGATGCCTCCTGGCGTTTCGTCCATAACTATTTTATGGAAATTTTGTTTTTAACAAATTATTATGCACAATTGTGAAATAGTAAAAAAAAAAAAAAGGTAGATAACCCTTACAATGTTTAAAATAGAAAAATGAAAAGTGTCTTTTGTACATTTAAACTGACATTCTGGATTATGCTTCTTTGCTTAATTGGATGGAGAGCCTCTGTCAACATCCATAATTCATAACATTATGTTCCAATGAGACCTGCAGAGGACACCCGCCTACTTGAACTTCAGCATTTGCAGATTCAACTAGTCGCAGATTTTTCTGTGCAACCCAACTCAGAAGTATTCCTGGAAAATTAACATTTTTGGTAGAGTATGTTTAAAATATATATTTAAAAAAAAAAAATGCAACTTGGGAAGGTGAAATATCTATGTGCAATGCTACCTAACACGCTATTGGCTGGTGTTTGAAAAGGCAGCCAATCCAGGAGCACCATTCATATTCCTTGGCGCCGATTGGCTATGTGTGAACTATTATAATAGACACTTGTATGCGGTTCTAGAGCGTTCTCAAGTATTTGCAAATACTTCTGTGGGCCGTACTTCAGAAACTCACAATATGCCAGAAATATGTTCATTTCCTATCAAATACCAGGATGTGTACGTCCCACAGCATCTGTTTTGGCGCTGAAGGAATGTCTTATATTAATGTTTGTTTACTGATGGTTTGGAAGTTCATTCTCACCTTGTAGCCGTTTGGCAAGAGAGCGTGCAAACAGGACGTTAGCCAGTTTGCTTTGTCCGTAAGCTTTAATAGCATCATAACTCGTTTCACTGTTGATGTCATCAAGTCGAAGGCCAGTCCAAGTGTGGGCCACCGACGCCACGACGATAATGCGGGCCGGAGCTGAACATTTGATGAGGTCAAGCAGCAGGTAGGTTAAGAGGACATGACCTTAAGGAAAGTCAGAATACATAAATCATTAAAATAGTTTGTGGCTCTGCAGCTGAATAGCTTTAACTGCTGTGAGGCTCAAGCATTTCTGCTCTATAGTCTTTGAAACCAGTCTGTAATATTCACTGGGAATGCTATCAGATTATGTCTTTACAAGTTCTTAATGTCTTGTTTTATTCTTCACATAAACACTGCCATTATTTAGAAGGTGTTGCTCATGTTCTTGTACAGAATCTTTTCTTTAAAGCTCCTGTAGGCTTGTGTCTCGTTGCGTGCGACTTGGTGTCCATATGTGTGTGGGCAAACGTGTCTTGAGCGCATGCTGCTCGCACTGACAGTTTGTGACAAAAATAATGCACGAAAAAATAAACATCGTCTGGGAGTAAGAGACGGTCCAATACACAGTGACAGCTTGAAAAGAAAAGAAAAAAATAAAGCTGCTCCAGAATCTTCTCGGGCTGATGTGTTTGTCAGTTGTGTTGCCATTAAGGCTGAATCCCGCCTCTTACTTTCCAGCCTTGCCGTCTAATTAAACTAACCTCTCCGAAATACAGAAATGAATAAACTCACATCAGTCAGCCAAGCTATTTTATAGATGCCTTAAAACCGCAACATTCAGGAAATATACGCATATAAAAGATATCACTGCAATACAACTTACCCAAATGATTAACTCCAAACTGCATTTCAAAGCCATCCACAGTCTTGGAGTAAGGGCACATCATGATGCCTGCATTGTTTATCAAGATATTCACTTGCTTCTCTTCTGGAAAACATTGACAATATTTATGTTAGTGCAATAGAAACCAGATTTTTTTTTATTACTGTGTATAAAAATAAACAATCTGTTAAGAGAGTAGGTGGGTTTTGTGGCCCACAAAGTATGGTACTTTTTGTGGTGTGGTATGTTCATGTCATACAGTCTTACCAGATTCTGCAAGCAAAAAGAAGAAATGCATGCAAACGTTTAATTTGACTTAAATAAAACTATTCACCCAAAAAAAAGAAGATAAAAATATTCCAAAAGTAATTGTGATGGTGCTATGTAGGTGCATAGAGATCTGCTTAAAAAGTAAAATAAATATGAATGTTAAAAGCGTAGCAATGAAAAGTAAGACTGCGTTTTTAAAGGAAACATATATATTGAAAATAAAGTAGGACCAATAAGAAGCAACCCTAGATGTATACCACAACGATTAGTGGCTGAAGAAGATCGTTCATCCCTACACAGTCTTTACTGCCAAATATTTTCTTTCAAGCTACTAAAACCTGTTGGGCAAAACAATCTATTCACGGCTCACTTTGGTCGTAAGTTTAACGCCACCTTCCTACCTTTGTTAATAACTTGAGCAAAAGCCCTGATGGACTTTGTGTCGGACAGATCCAGCTTCCTGATGACGATGTTCTCATTGCCCGTGTCCTCCAAGATGTCGCTCCGCGCCTCCTCGGCCCTCTCCACGTCTCTGCACGCCATGATGATGCGGGCGCCTGAAAAAGCAACAAGACGATGGAGACGCGTAGGCGTGTTCTCCCAGTCACACGCCTTACACTTCATCACAGTCGCTCAGCTCCGGCACATTTGCAGCAGTGGTTTAGAACCGAGAACACGCCGGTGAGTGTTCGCCTCCCTCCGACTGGTGTCTAGCTTTATGCTCTCGCGTCTTGACTTGGTCAAAGCTTTTAGTCTCTGAAACGCGTCTTGTAACAAATAAACAGCCGTACTGTAGTCCTAAAATACATGAGTAGAAGCGTCAAAAGGAGGCACATCGGGGGACAAATTCAACACAAACAAGTTTGCGAGTTCAAAAGAGCATCTCATTTATTCAATTAGAGGCAAAGAAAGCCACCAACATCAAGTAAGTAATGAAGTCCCTAAAAATCTTTGTGCACCTTTGATCATTCTCTAATGATTTCTAAGCCCTCTTTCAGCAGCTCATTTAGCCAACTGCTCCGCGGCATCGCTTTGCTTCCGAGGCAAATTATGAGGCATTCTCCTTAATGAGCTCAGGAAGGGGTTTCGAGGACAGCATGCTCAATTCTTTCTCTCACCCACACAAAAATTGGGATGCATGACCATTGAAACTAATATATATGTATGTATACGAAGGCAAGAGCCCCACACTGTACCACAGATATCCTGACAATGAAAAAAAAAAAAAAAAAAACTGGAAAAACTACAGCACACATTTCAGATAGCTCCTCCACACTGCAATTAAGGAAGTGGTGAGCCATTAATCAGCTGGAATGTAGCGTCTGTGTCTCATTATTGTGTCTTTGTTCGTGTTCAGCTGCTCCCAAGTGGGAACGCTCAGTTCCTCTCCCATTTTGGAAGTACCGACTGAGTCTCTTTAAATGCAATAAGTCATTATCAGGTGTGTTATCATTATCAATCACTGTAAATTCAAATCCATTGTTAAGCAGTCCCAGGTCTTGTTTGGGATGAAAAAAAGAAACAAAAAAAAAAAAAAAAAAAAAAACAAAAAGTAATCTTTGAAAAAGTGAATTTCAAAACAGCTATT